GCGCACACTTAATCACTACACATATCTACATTCCAAGGACATATAAGGTCCATCATGCTCAAGCCCAAATTGAGGGTATTTATAGCCCAAGACCATTATTGTTTGTCCTCCAACCTCCATCAAGGCCAAATCAAGAGGTCATCAGCCCAACTTGTTAATATTTAACATCCGGTCCGTTACTCAAGCCCAGCCGGATCAAAATATGTTCAGCCCAGTTATTCAAGAATGCACAAGTCCTACCAGTTGAAGGATTTACCGTAGAAGGAAAATTCTGAGATAGAAAGTTCTGTACAAGGCAAGTTCTATGTATGGAAAATTAGACAATGGAAAAAACTCTATTAGTAAAGAATGTTTATATAGAAAGAATTGGAGGGCAAGAAACGCGAGTCCTACCATAATTTTACAATCTTTTGTATATAAATAGAGGCTTAGACCTCCAATAAAGGGATCAAGCAATTCTACGCTTCTCTATACACTGTTCTTATTTATTCTTATTGTTTTTGAGTGAGTTGTTTAATTTTTCTCAATCATTATTGGTTGAGCGGAATTTTGCACCTACAGTCACCAATGAGCATTAGCTCAGATTCTATGGTCTCTCCCTTAAGGAGGGAGAGGTTGAGTGTTTAAACCATATTTTGTGCAGACTGTTCAGTGGGGTATTTCGAGTTATTTGTATTTTTTATTTATAAATTTTGATAATTATGCAAGTACCCCCGGAAAAAAAATTTGCATAGGACCTTAACAAAAGCCTTCCAAATTTCGGAAGACCCCTTATTTTTTAACTCATTTGCCTTTTTAAGGTAGAGTTCGAGTGTTTAAGCCATAGGAACAATATTGTTCAGCCAGCAATTACTTTTGAGTTATTTGTATTTTTTATATATAAATTATCATAATTATGAAAGTAACTCTACTGAACTAAAAAATTTACAGAGGACATTAAAAAAAAAAAAAAAAAAAAAGCTCATTTGCCCAATAAAATTTTCCAAGTTACAATTTTTAAAAATCAAAATTTAGAAATAAAAACCCCTTTTTGTTATTTATTAATTTGGTTCAAATTTTTCAATAGCATTATGCTGTTTTTGGAACTTTGCTTTAGGATGGGAATTGGATTTCGAAAGGGAATTCACTTATTTGAATTATGGTATTTTAAAAAGGAATTGGATTTGATAGAATTTCAAAGGAAATTTTGTAATGTAGAGAAAAAAATATGGTAGGATTTGGCACGTAATACCAAAATTATTCTACCTACTTTTTTTTGTAACTGTTACGTATCTTTACCCAAATTGGTATAAAAACTACTTTGTTACAAATTCCTTTTTACGTTAAATAAGAATCCTATTTTAATTAGGATCCAATTTCTTTTTTAATTCCAGTTTCAAATCCCAAAAGATTTGGTTCCAAACAAAATTGTTAATGGATGTGTACTTACTATTGGAAATAAATAAATAAAAATAAATAGAGAAAAAATTAGATTTTGGTGACCAAACTTAAACAAATCTATTCAAAAGTGATCCCAAAGTCAAAAAAAGATGAAAAGTCACCAATTTTGAAACTTAATTATTAATGAGTGACCAGTTGAGCGTAATTTGATCAAAATATTTACTTATTTATTACACATTTTAAAAATAATTTTTAGATGCTAAAATTGCCCTTGGATTCATCCACCTCGTTCTCATCCAACCCTTCTCTTTTTTGCTTTTTAGTTTACAAACTTACCAATTAAAACATTAAGTTTCTTTAATAACTCTATCTCTTAAAATTAGGGTTTATGTAAACCTTACCTTTTTGTCAAAGTTCTTCACTATAGTTGAAAGCAGACTAAGTAGATAACCAAAAGTAAACACAAATATTACTTATTTATATTCAATCACACGAGTTTATATATACTTTAAGTTTACCGTAAGTTTCTAAATCACACACCTATCAAATTATACCTATATGTGTGTGTGGTATATTATACAACTATCCATGTAACAAAGTAGTCATCACATTTTCTTAGTAAACATCTCAGTTTATTATTCTACAGTGTATGCATAATAATTTAATATGTTTAATTGTGTTTAATGTGTAAGGTAAATTTTTTCAATTAAAAAATAATATATTACTAGAAGGATATTTAAGTAATAAGCTAATAAATAGTCACTTGCTAGTAATAAAGTTTTAAAATTAGTGATTATTAATCTTTTTTCTCAACTTTAAAGTCAGCAATTTTGTTTATACATTGTCTGTTTCCCCACCCTATATTCTTCGGCTTTGATTGATATAATAGAGACTTCATGGAAATACAAGATGGAGACAATTCTTAGCACAAAAGCCAATGTTAAGGCTCATTCTCTCTCTCTCTCACACACACACACGAGGAATTTTCCACGCGTTAGAATGAAAGAAGTTGGATATATGAGATTTATATAGGTGAGGAGATTTGTGGAGAACAATAAACGTAAATCTGGTTATAATATATTACATAATATAATAATAATATATTCTACATCCTAAAAAAGCATTAGAGGATGGTCAAATAATATCAAAAATTTTGCTTACATGATGAAATTCCTCTTATTTTCTTTGGTCGATCCTGGCTTGTTTGGAACTTTGGACCGTATACATTGGTTTTTTTTTCTTTATTCCTCTGCTTTGATTGACAAAATGATATGATGGAGACTTCTCGGAAATTGATGTATCTTCGAATTTGATACAAGAATGGAGCTGCTTCCTGGAAATACAAGGTTGGAGACCATGTATGCTTAGTATAAAAGGCAATGTTAAGGCTCATTCTTACACACACACACAGCAGAGGAATTTCCCACACCTTGGAATGAAAGAAGTTGGGTATTATTAATTGGGATCATCCCCAGTGTCGAAAATGAATAAAAAAAATTCATTAGAGAGGAAGTGATTTTTGGAGCTGCCTTTGTCACAGTTATTGCTCTGCTTCTGCTTCCACTACTGCCGGCCATATCAGAAAATAGGTGGCAACCCAGTGCCAACCATCATCTTTAACGACGACAACCCTTCATCCTTCACTGCATTCGTTAAAGATGATGGTTGGCACTGGATTGCCACCTATTTGGGTCTCTCCCTCCCTCGATCATAATTCTAGCTTGATTTAGTTGTACAATTTGTTGTTTCTCTAGTTATGATGTAGCTGTTGGGAAACGTGCTAGTTTTAAAAACTTTTCGAGGGATTTAAATTCATAGATCTTGATTCATCACTTAGAGACAAGTTTTATGCAAAAATAAAACATGATGTATCATTCAATTAAAAGATTGAATACTTACATCAAGGTTTGAGTAAACCTTAGATCTCTCCTCTAAAGTGAATGTTCTCACTTATTGTAGATCCCTTTTGCTAGACACCTTTTCCATGGATCTCCATCTTCTTGGTAATTCTTTTGCCTTTAGGAATCACTCATATGCCTCCATGAATGACCTTGGAAAACTAGGCTTGTGGTAGCCTCCATTAGATGAGAACATAAACCCTAATTTTCTAGAGAGAGAAAATTTATTCCTTTTTCCTTCTCATAAAAATCACACCCTAAAATATACATAGACCATGTATATTTATAGGCAACATAAAAATAAAGAAAAGGAAACAACAAATCCTTCTCCATCTCTAATTCATATGTCTCAAATCTAATATGATTCCAATATCAAGTTGGGCTATGAGTGAGAATCCATTGGGCCTATTATTTTATTGGCTACAATGAATTAATAATTGGCCCGGTCCATGGACTCAATTCAATTAATTCATAAATTAATTTCTACTCCACTAAAAGAAATTAATTGAACTCCAATTAAATAATAAATAACCTCTAAGTCAATATTGCACTTTGACCCCTCTATGCATAATTAGTTATCGGATAAATATAGCCATCAATCCGACTACTTAATTAATATATTTATTTTGGTACCTTTGATTATTTCTGACTCGATCACAATAAAACATTTGTTTGACAAAAATAATAATTTAAATAAATAAATATATAATAAATCATTTTGTCTAAAAACACACGAAGGCCTTCGAATTTACTTTGTGATCAACCATAATCAATACAAAATAAATACAAGTAGCAATGATGCAAATATTGAAAATATAACCCTCTAACTATTAATTACATAACTACCCAAAGTGTCGGTCTAAGGATCCCGAAGAATCCGCCGAACAAATCAAAGTAATTATTAATTAATAAAAGAGTCTATACTTTTTTCATGCTTAAGAGTCAAATGCCATGACGGTGATAGGGAGTAATTGCATACGACGGCTCTCGCAATATATCTCAACCTAACGCGGATCCAGTTCAAGTCTTAATTAATTATGAGTCCATCCATAATTACCGACTATGAACAATTTATAATTACTATTTATATATCATGCATTGATTGTCATCACATACATATATATAAATATTTCTTGTAATTAACTGGACACTATCAATTTCATAGTGAATTGAAACATAATACATTGAATTCACCAATTATATAAATCATAAATATTTCAGATATGTCAGGAACATATGTCAATACAATCCAGATAGGAATTTGCTATGCCAGGGCATATAAATCCCAAAAGTAGCATATATGGGTATTTTTGGTTTCTCTCAACACTTTGCTTGCCCTTCTATTTTGTAATCGGGTGATTTTTTCTCAATTGGTTTGCAACTTACGGATGATATAGGAAGTTTTTATCAATTATTATTATTTCTCAATTGTTTCTCTTTTCTGAAAATTGTTTCTTCATTATTATTCTTCAGAGCGGCGGCAGAAGTGGTGCTGGGCAAGATTTATTTTTCTCAAGCATTGAAATTGACTCTTCACACATTGTCGTCTTGACTATGTCAAAACTGATATTCACTTGTTGACTTGATAGAATTTAAAAGGAAAATTTTTTGGAGCGTAATATCAAAATTATCCTTAGTTTCTCATTATAACTGTTACGTATCTTTTACCCAAATTGAATAAAAAAAAAAAGAATCAACAATTATAGTCAAGCTCAAATTGGGTGTCCAAATGAAAAAAAATCACTCTCCAAATTAAGTTTGAAATGAGATATCTAACTCTTAACGGGGTAACGTCTGTTTCTTTTGGTTTTATTCATAATTCAAGACACCCCGACACAACTAAAACGAAAAAAACGTTATCCTAATCAACAATACTTTTAATTACTAAAATGGAGAGGAGGAAACAATAGTGGGAGTGAACACTAAACTAATAATGAAATAAAATACTTCCTATAACTGCATCGTGAAGATCGTACAAACCAAATGATGCTCCGTTTAATGAAACTGAACCACCAACAACCATATAACGTTAGACCAACTGGGCACCAAACCCCAACCCGCAGCAGAGCGCACAATTGCTGCCATTAACAATAGCCACTTGCATACTTCATTATGCATGCACTTACTCTCCTTGAAGAGACAACACCAGAAGGCCGGCATTTTGCAAATCATTAGTCAATAGTTCTTGCAACTTCTGCAGAAATCAACTAGTGATCCAACTATTTATCGATTGCACTTCATCAGACAATCACATGATTAAGCATGCTGGAAATATAGACCCTGCAGGTTGTAGCATTGAAAAACCAGCAAGATAATGCACAAAATAACATTAAGCCCAATGATAGATTTTGAACCAACGGCTATTAAAGCACAGTGGGGTCCCCAAGAAAGCAGCCATATCTATGCAATCATCTTCCGTGTAGAAGCGGACATTGATCAAACCAGCTGTATCTATAAATGATAAAGAACTTCCTAGTACCCTCAAAAAATCAACATTTCCTGATTACTGCAAGGACAAAAAAGGAATTCACTTGATGCATATATCAAACTAGCAAACCAATTGAGAAGAAAACCCAATTAACAAATTGGGAGGAAATTGAAAATCCAGGTGACTAGTGATATAAAGATTCCAAAATTTTCTTGAATCTTATGTGCTTGAATTGGAACCAAAAATAGGAGGGAAGCAATGTCCTAAGAGATGGCAGTAGTACATTATAAAGCTGCACCACATAATCCGGTGAGAGACCAAAGAAGCACGCTACATAACTAGAGAAACAACAAATTGTAACACTACTAATCCAAGGGTTGGTGTGACCCTAAAGGAAGTCTTGGAGAAGGTTGTTCTCTAAGCATTTGAGAAGTGGTGTACTTCTTGTTCCGGTTTGCTCCCTACTCGAAAGGAGAAGCCTAGTGGATTGGGAAGTCTCAAGAAAGATCTTGAACCGTGAAGTAGGAGATTCTGAACCTCGCTAAAATCTTGGTGTCAATGCCATGTTTGGTGTGAGTGAATGGAATCAAATGAAGTAGGAATGGAATGTTTTTGTTTTCATTCTTTAGTATGGTAACTAACTTTTAAAGTTGAAATGATGATTCTTGTCCATTCTTCGAGAATGGTGATTCCCACTAATTCATTCCACTTTCCAACTAAAGGAATGACCATTTCATTCCCACTTTAATAATAATAATAATAATAAATAAATGAATAAAAAAAACATTTGATGGAACTACATATATATATACATACACACACACACACACACACACACACACACACATATTTTTTTTACAAAAATAGGATGTTTTTCTGTGCAACCAAACATGCGAATGAGAATGGTCATTCCATTCCCATTCCATTATATGATTCATTCCATTCCCATTCCATTATCTGATTCATTCCATTCTCACTTTATTTCATTCAACCACACCAAACTAACCACCCAAGTGTTTTAAATTTCTCTATCCCTTACCTATTTATTTTATGTTCATTTTTTAAATTTCTATCTAGCATAAAATTGTATAGTTACTTTCACTTAGATTTTGATTGAATCGATTAAATTCCATTGTTTGCCAAAGACCCAATTCACCCCCCTCTAGGGTCAATTATTGGGTAACATCTCTCTCTCTTTATATATATATATATATATAAAATCTCTCTCTTTGTGTGTGTTTGTACGAATGTTGTAGATCCAGTGCATAAAGGCAATTGGCCACAGTATGGACTATATGGTGGAAAGGTACTTGCAAAGGTAGGGAGCAAGAGGAGGGCAAGGAGAATATTCTTAAATTACTATTTTGATAAGTTACAAAGAATGAAAGAAACAAATAGGAATTTTTGTCTAAAAAGACAGGTACGACGCTGTCCCATTTCAAATCAGAAGGATTATATTATTCCCTCTACATGTAGTCCTTTTTTTATATTTTAAGTTTCTCGGATGATGGAGATTTGTTATGCAACCTGACTTGTTGACCCACACACAACTTTATACATCAAAACAAAGACATGGGTAGGACTGTTGTAGGGCTCATCAACCTCAACACCTCACCCTACATTCTCTTTCACTTAATAAAAGGAGTTTAGTCCTTACTGAAGTAAAGATTTGGATACATGCAATTGCAAATATTGTTGTGTTAAGGATAGCTAGATTGTAGTTCTACTGGCACTTTGTTTGGGCAGGCAGCTTGTACATATTGTACTATGCAAGGACGGACAGCCTACATTCTCTTTCACTTAATAAAAGGAGTTTAGTCCTTACTGAAGTAAAGATTTGGATACATGCAATTGCAAATATTGTTGTGTTAAGGATAGCTAGATTGTAGTTCTACTGGCACTTTGTTTGGGCAGGCAGCTTGTACATATTGTACTATGCAAGGACGGACAGCAATCGATTGTTACCAACTTCACGTGGCTGTATTTGCTATTGGAAAAATATGGAGGAAATTTGTGTGTGTGTGTATATATATATATATATATATTTATATTAGTTCACTTGAGTATATTTAAATATTTTATGACATTGCTTCGATCATATTTATAACCTATAACCTATTATTACACGTAGAATCCGAGAAAGGACCGGGAAGGTCTCATGGAGAATGAATCTTACTTGAATCCATTCCTACCACTACTTGGAGATCTAATCATAAAGACCTAAAGTAATGACACTCAAGGATAAGCCCTATATTTTTTAGTAGCCCTCCACTACGATTCTAGCGGTAATGTCTAGGAGGACGGCTGTTCGTCAACCTCAACAACATAGGTGGGACCAAGGTTTCAGTTTCGGTCACAGATGGTGAGAAAGTCAAAGCCACTCATAGGTGTCAATAAGTAAGCCTCTCTCCCCAAGGAACGAAGGGTAGCTGGAGGTTTGAAGGTTTGGGAACCGAATCTTTCTAAGATGTATTAGGCAAGCGAAATACTATCTACCTAATTCTCTCTGACTCAAGAAAGACTGCAGAGCAAGGATTCGAACCCGTGTGACCTCATATGAGCCTGCGAGCTACCAAACTGCTCCACCCGAAAACTCCCTCCATCTTCTGCATCGAGATAAAGGAATGGCTCTATTCAAGATGAACGTTAGTAAAGCCCAACAAAGGCTCTTTCGCTTTCCAGGTCAGTTACCTCATCTTATTTTGGAACATTACTTTGCACCTAGAAAAAGAGTAACTTACCTGAGTGTAGTGGCAACTGATCCAATCACACATCAAACCTGCCAAAATAATTGCACAAACATGAAAAGATGCATTTAAAATTCAAAAGGACCATCAGTATCATAACAGCGATTAGTAATACCTCATAGCTGATGGATCTTGGTATCTAAAATGTTACTGAACAGTCTGAACCTTTGACAGCATATCGAGCTCAAACCATCACTTCAGAATGATTTGTAGAGCTACCTCCCAGGGAATCTAAAGCTCTAATGATGCTTTTGCATTTGAAGCATAGTCTCAAAAGCTAACCTGAACATGACCATAAGACAAATTTACCTGCCTTAAAGCATTTGGTGGATTTAAATCGTACATGTCCCTCATTCAGACCCATTTTCAATACTACCTAAATATTGTAATCAAGCATATCCAATCACAGTTCCATCTCTAAGGGACACAGGAATGCTTATAAGCCTTTTGACAGAAATTTTTTTTCAGCATTGACTACAAAAAATTAAAAACCCCAGGGAACTTCGAGGAATTAGAACATGCGTGCTGAAAATAAATAATGATTAAATAATAATAATAATAATGCAAAACATGCTGAAAACCAAAACTCTTGCATGCAATTAAAACCCAGACAGACCGACAAAACCAACACATACAGAGGCAATCTTAATTCTGTAGTAAATTTAATCTCATAAAAAAAACAAAATAAAACCCAAAAAAAAAAATAGAAAACAATCAGGGTCACAGCTCTGAATCTTTGTTCTGACAAATAAGATATGATGGTTACATTGGCTTGGCAATAGTAGGTTTAAGGCAATCAATAATTTGACACAGAGTTGCATTGCCATATAACATTGGTCACCCTAAATAAGACAACAAAGGTGGGCCAGGTGGACCATGAATTTCTCAAATCTTGTTCATCTGGTCTTCTGGTCTAGGCTGGAGGCATCATCAAAAAGGGATGGGCTGGGCTGACTTCAGGCATCGTATATCACAGGCTCACAGCTGTTTCGATGGGAGAGGCAAGGAAACAGATGGAAAAAAGAGTATTAGATTTCCAAATAGAGGTTGTCTGTATGATAAAATCAAAGAGATGGGCATCTTTAATATTGACCATGTATAAAAGGTTTGCTTAATAGAACTAAAGGACAGAAACAATCATGGAGAAGTTGTTTACCTGCAGGCCACAAGAATCCTGGACTTTAATACCCATGGTGTTTCCCATGGGAAACAGGGTTATGACCCGATAACCTGGTTAAAAAGGCTAAAGATCAGTGGTCGGACAAGGTGAAGATCTATTAGTAAAACCAAAACCTCTTAGTTACAGTGAAGAAAAATATGAAATCAGTTTTGACATAGTTAAGACAATTTGTGAAGAGTCATTTCAATGCTTGAGAAAAATAAATCTTACCCAGCACCACCAGAAGGACCAGAAGAATAAATGCCATATGCTCCGTAACCACTTCTGCCGCCGCTCTGAAGAATAATAATGAAGATACAATTTTTAAAAAAGGATCTAAGTTCAAAAGGTTATTGATCAGTTGATAAATTTATATGTACTCCTCACTAATTGCATTTTGCATATGATAATATTTAAATGCACCATATAAAAACCAGACTAATAGCTATAGCTAGAATAATAACAATCCCTCAACTTCACAACCAGAGAAATAACTTGGGAAAAATAATTACAGATAGATTACCTGCGAACCACCATAACTTCCGTATCTGTCACTGAGACGCATGTCACTGGAATCATACTCATCAGAGTGAGTAGAATATCCACGTCCACGTGATTTACTATCACGGTTTCCATATTTGGAACCATCTGCCATGTCCACTGACATGGGAAGGTAGGGAACTGGTGGCAAAGTAGCTAAAGCTCCCTCCATTTCAAACAAATTGGCTTTTAACCGCATAGTTACTTGTACAAGGGCATTGCTAGCAACATTGAGGTCCCCAGTAATCTGTCAGCATCATAGCAAACTAATATTATAACCAAAATAAAGAAGATGAAAGACATGGCAGGCATGCAACAAAATCAAATTCTCACCTGCACCATCTCCTCGTCTTCAGCAGCAACTTTAGGAAGGTTTTCCTTCGAAAGAATGCGGATGCTTGCTCTTGTCACATTTCTCATCTCCGAAATGATAGATCCACCTTTACCAATAAGGCATCCAATTCGAGAACTTGGCACTAATAGACGCGTAGTGATTATGGAATCACCTGATTCTTTTTCAGCTTTCTGACTACATCTTGGTTGCAATCGCATTGCTGCGTCAATGGTTGGGGATGGGTCTTCGAATAACTGAAAGCATATTACCAGAATCATATCAACCTCATGGCCTAGGTCTGGAGTTACATTTTTATCCATTAAATAATCACCAAGATGATAGAACAGTGCTTACCTCCTTTGCGGATATGGATATAATGCAATCATCTCCTTCAGCACCTGAACTATCAACCTTAATAGATGCCCTAGATTCTTGTCTGATTTGGTTTATAATCGCACCACCTTTTCCAATAACACCTCCAATATTTTCAGTTGGGCAAACCAAGCGAAGTGAGAATTCCTTTACATAAGCTGACCGATCTCCAATATCATTCTTGTAACCTCCATAAGGACTCACAAATGGAGTTACACCCATGATTGGTGCATGTGGACCACCCATAAATGCGCCACCAGATTTATAAATACTTGATGAAGACAAGAGCAAGTGTTGAGATCTTGAAGGATTATCATGAAGACGAGATGCCACTTGGAAGAGAGCCTTCTTCACAAGTGAAGCTTCACCAGTTATCTGAAATGATAAACACTTCCAATGTCTTTATTATGATCAATCATTTCATACAGCCAACAATATGAATTAAACACCTCCTAGTATACCAATCACCAAAAAGCATACAAGCAAGCAACTGGAAGTTAACACAATGTAGATGAAACAATATACAACTAACACATATGAGAATCCAAAAGGTCGCTGAGAAACTTCATTATCTGATTATAACAACATATATATGTATTATTCAAAACTTTACTTACAACCTCAAAATTGTTCAAAAGAGGAGGATATTTTAGTTCTCAATCAAAATCATTATAGAGTCATCTCATATCCACTTAACAAGAAAACCTCAAACTCATATCCACTGACAAATAAAGGAGGTTGCTTAGTAATCAAGAGGGCAATGAGGGAGGGAGAGATTGTTCAGTTTTCAATCAATATCAGTGATCACCCAGCTTATAGCCACTAGCAGAGACTAGGGAATTATAGTGATAATCTTACTACTCAAGTTTCCAACGACATGGCATTGAAAATTTAAACAAAATACCAAACAGGGGACCACTAAACACATGGGAGAAGGTGAGATATTATTTGATAAAACAATCCTTAAAAAGACACTTGCCCTGAAATATTGCACATCACGTCACATTTAAAAATATCAGACAACCACCATTTATCTATTTTTCAAGGTGAATGAATCACATGCGGAAAATTTTTAATTTTAAAAATTCTATTTTGAAGAGTGGTACTAGGAAAAGTGAGTCGAATGACTAATCCGCACAAGTATACAGGTAAAAGAAGCTTGCAGAATATGGTAGAATTAGATGAAAATGACCCGAGTTACCTGGAGAAGCTCATCGGAACTCAAAGCGCAAGGTGGCAGATGTTCGCTACTTAGAACACGAATCTGAGCACGAGTTTCAGTACGCATGTTCTGAATAACTTGCCCACCTTTCCCAATAACACATCCAATCTGATCTGATGGCACCAGTAGTCGAATGGTAACTTGTTGAGACTCCTCGAATTCATCATCAGCAAGTGTTTCTTCAGCAACAACCCTGTCATGCACCCTAAACAGAGCATCTTGTGCGGGTGAAACAAGCTCATCAGTATCTTCAAAGTTATTGGTTTCCTCACTCGAGCTATATAGAGTAACAACGCGCTCCTCGCATCCAGGCACAGTCTCACCAATCCTAATCTTTGATTGAGTTTCTGCCCTTAATTGCTTTGCGATGTCGCCTCCCTTCCCAATAATACTTCCAATCCTTTTCACAGGGCATAAGTAACGGTATACAGTATCTTCTGACCCAATAGCATGCTGTTCCCTCTCATCAGTAGGATTTCTTCTCTTACTACCTTCACTCCCAGCGTAGTCAGACTGAGAATGGGATCTTTTGCCATAGTTAATCCTCTGCCCAGCCATCATGCAATGGGACTATCTACAACCCTAACAGATGTTTTTAATTTATGAGTTACAAAAACTGGGAACTGCAATGATGAATATAATCTGTAAAGCGGCGTATAGCTCAAAAAATAAAATAACTTTTTTAAATAAAATAAAATAACTTTTTGAGATAAGTATCAGAGTGGTATTTCTGATTTGCAACTTAAAATTAATTTAATACACATGTACATTACGTCGTAGTACAAGACAGAAGTTAATAACACAACTCATTCGATACCCATTTTACCAAATCAAAGTGAAACTGCATAGGAATCTCAACTCATCAGGGCTCTCAAACTAGTGCTGAACTGTAAATTTCTTATAAATATGACCATTATCTCATTTGAACAAGAAACCATATGAAATCAATCTTAGTCGTTACATCAGTAGCAATACAACAAATAAATAACTATAGCGAATATTACCAAAACTGGCAATTTGCAACAGATCAAACTATTCAATTAGTAAACTGATAATTTGCAGCAGACCCTTTCTTCCTTTGCTATGGTATTCTAATTAATAAGAAAGAGAAAACAATAATTTAATAGAACCCTAGATGGTAAAGTATCTCAAGATTCACAGAGTTTAAGCACAAAAAATATGTACTTCAACAAAATAAATTTGATTTTTCTCTAAAACGAGCAATAGTTCATCACGTAATCAACATATGCTTCCATGTATCAGAACACCAGCTATGAAAATATATATATACACTCAAATATACCTATGAAAAAACAATGAGCTTGTTCCAATCGCTAAAGATTGGATATTTAGGCAATGAACTCATGATAATATTCTAAAACTCAAATTAGTTTCAATATCTAGTTTCGACTATGCAATATTAGTTTAAACTCATAATTATATATCTTTTCCAGACAATATGTCCTTGTATGAATATGTATATAACAGATTAGCAAAGTAAAGACTAATAGCATTCATGAGAAATAGAATAATCAAGTGTGAACATCAAGATCTGTATAGATTTAAACCAAAATTCAAAAGAAAAGATAGATTAGCAAAGATTAAGCGTAAATTGAAGACTTATCAAACAATTATAATAATAATAACTGGTTAAAAGTAGAAGAACTGACTTGTGAGAGACGAAAAGAGAGAGATAGCTTAGTCGTGTTCTTGATGATTTCGTCGAATAGATCGCGTTGAGAGGTGGATGTGCAAGTGTGTAACCGCCTCTTGAAATATATGGAATATATATAAATATGTATCCGCGTATATATAGGAGTACGACTTTCTGAGAAAAAAATCTGCGGAAGGTTAGGCCATTAGATTCTAGGGTTTGAACCAGGGGCATGTTCAATTACTAAAGTAGCCCCGATGTCAAAATAAATTGATGAGAAAGCTTTTTTAAGATTCAAGCTTCCTCTATTTTTCTTTTTCCCTTTTTCCTGTATTCTTTTTTTTTTTTTTTGGGCAGCTTGTAAACTTTAAAATGAAAACAGGAAAAGAAAAAAGAAAAGGAAAAAACTATAGTGAAGCAATTATTTTTCCTTTATTCTTTTTTTTATTTTTTTTTACCCATGATCTTACTTTATTACTATTCTATTTTAGTTTGGTTTGGGAGATAAATCAAAATAATTAATTCATGAAAAGATTAAAGTACCAACTTTCTAAAATAAAATAGAAAAAATAAACCAAAGTAATATAATTATTTCTAGTGAAAGAATACTTTGTTACACTGGGATTGCTGTTGCCCATTTTAGGTATTTGGTGAAACATTATGATAAGTATTTTTCATAATTAAATTATTTTTAATTTATTTGGTAACAATATTTTTTAAAACACTTCCATTGTTAATTTTACAATAATATAATTTAATATAATGTTACCATATTTGATAATAGCAATTTTATAAAGGAATGAGTATAATTATCTTTATAACAAATAAAATAAATAAAATTGTCTAAAGAAAAAAAGTTACCTAAAATATTCAACCTATGCTCAGAACCTAGTTTTAATTTATTTCTTTTTCAAAAACTCTAAACTAAAATTTGTAACTACTAAAAGCGTTTTTAATGGTTACCAAATACATCTAAACAGAATTTTTTTTAAATAAAAGCGCTTAAAAACAGTCCTAAACAGGCTCTGCGTTTGGTGTAAATGAATTGAATGGAATGCAAATAGGAATTGAATGAGAATGAGAATGAAATCGAATGGTCATTCTCATTCTATTGTTTGTTTGTAAATATGAAATGTGTAGGAATGGAATGATAATAACCATTTTAGTGTTTGGTTGAACCAATTTAAAATTTATAATGGAATAAATTTCTGATTGAATTCTCTAAAATATCCCTCTTAGTAACAGATAAATTAAATAAAATTAACAAAATGATATTCTCTAATAAATTTTTAAAAATAAATGGTGGCAGTGGCGGTGGTGGATGGTGGAAAGCGGTAGTAGTGTAGATGGTGGTGTTAGAAGGCAGCGGTGGTGGCAATGGTGGAAATTGGTGACAGTAATGGTGGTGGAAGATGGCAGTGGTGTTGGTGGAAGGTGGTGACAATAGTGTGGTGGTTGTGGTGGAAGAAGATGGTGGTGTGACTATGATGGTGGTGGAAGGCAGCGGAAGTGGTAGTGGTGATGGTGGTGGTAGTGGAAGGCGGTGGTGGTGGTGAAAGGTGGTGGTAGTGGCGGTGGTGGAAGGTGGTGGTGATGGAAGGTGGTAGAAGGCGATGGCGGTGGTGGAAGGCGATGGTGACGTTGTTGGTGGTTGTGAAAAGCGGCGGCGGTGGTGGTGAAAGGCGGCTGTGGCAGTGGGGGAAGGCGGCGGCGACGGTGGTGGGTTGTGACGGTGGTGGAAGGTGGTGGTGGTAGTGAAAGGCAGTAGCTGTGGTGGTGGTGGAAAGTGGTGGCAGTGGTGAAAGGCGATGGTAGCGGTGGTGGTGGAAGGTGGTGAAAGGCAATGGTAATGGTGGTGGTGGAAGGTGGTGGAGGGTAGCGGTGGTGAAAGGCGGCGGCGGTGGTGGTTGCGACAAATGGTGGCGGTAGCGGTGGTGGAAGGCAATGGCGATGGTGGTTATGGAAAGTGGTGGGCGATGGTGAAAGTCGGTGGTGGTGGTGGCGAAAGGCGGAGATGATTGTGGTGGAAAGTAATGGTAGTTTTTTGACTTGGAATATGAGGGTATTTTGGGAAGTTGATTTTTTAAAATAAATTACTTGGGAATGGAATAGCCATTCCATAGGTTTAGTTGTGGAATTGATTTTCATTCTAATGGAATGGTCATTCCTCCTTTAAGTTGCATACAAAACAAATAAATGGTTGAAATGACATTTAATTCCATTCCTCAACACCAAACGTAGGTAACCATGATAAAGAGGATATTTTGTATTTATGGTGTGAAGGTATCTCGGATTTAATTTGAATCAAAGACTTTCCCATTACAATAGAGTTTGTAGTCTTACTAACTCGACATAAGTAAAACAATTTTTTTAATCAATCACAAAAGACTATTTTACCCTTTCTTTTTAAATTTGTCATTTCTTATTAAATTATTTTTTATTATATTTCTTCTTATTTAAATATTAATTATACCATTGACCTTAATTTTATAATTAGTATTAATTAATTATAAAAATGGAAAAAAAAAAAAATTTGTAACTATCATTTTCTAAAATGATTAACTTATTATAATAAAACTTATTATATTCACTTTAAAAAATTTAGTATAAAAAAATATATTCTTTTTCTAACAATATTCATGAAAAAATAAATTAAGTAAATAAAAAATATCTTCTTTTTAATGCAATATATTCATGAAAATTAATAAATTACTTAACTTGTTTCAAAATTTTCTATTTAAGATTTTTATTTAAATAATTAATTAAAAAAAATTAAAGGCAAACTTATGCAAATTCAATGGAGAATATTTCATCAAATTAGTATGATTTTTTTTTTTTTTTTTTTTTATAATTTATTTAACAAGAAAAATATATCAAGTGTAATTCAATAAGAAAGGAGATTATGATAATTTAATAAAAAATAGGAAAGATAATAGGACATTTTGTAACTAAATGTGATAGTTTAGGGGGTTTTAAGCACTAAATGTGATAGTTTAGGGGGGTTATTTGCAAATTTAAACATAGTTGAGGGTTTTTTTTTTTTTTTTACACTTTACCCTGATTTATATTGGGTAAATGCAGAAAACACACTTGAAGTATACTTTTCGTAGAATTTTTACCTCTATTTGAAAAAGTGTGCAATAAACACTCATAATCTTTTGATATTGTGCAAAATTGCCCTATTATCAGAAATCTAACGAGTGTTATAATATCCATTTTGCCCTTATATTATTCCCAAAATGCCCATGTAATCATCCTCTAAACTACAATCAATGACGTTACGGAGACTTGTTCTGGCGAGCTTCACAAGGCTCGGTTATGTTTTCAAGAACCAAACAACCCGAATTATTAACTCCGTATAATCAATGTGTTGTGATATTGAGTGCTTAAGATTTCCTTAATTATTTGCTTATCAGTTACCACCAACTATTCTTCTTCTTCATCATCATCTTCCCTTGTCTCAAAAGATGATCTTTTTCTTTCCGCTCTTGCAATACATTGAATACCCATCCCCCTCAACCTCCACTGCCTCCTCAGTCGCGAACAGCGTCGCAGGACAATTGCCACAAAAGCTCCATAAAGCAATCGGAATATTGAACCGCATCAGCCTCTTCCTCTTCTGCAACATCGATGAAAACAACGACCCACCGTTGGTAGAAGCCATAGTGAGTCCACTAGGTGGTGGTGGTTTCTGCAGTCAGAGCCTCAGCGGTGGCGACAACGATGAAGAAGGTGATTGAGAGATGACCCTTACCTTCGCCGGCGTTTTCCTAAGTTTGGTTCTCTTAACTCTGGCGACGTGTTGGCGATCTAAGTTTTCAATTTTAGGGATTAAACCTTTATTGTGATCATGAGAAGTGTAATTACTGATATGTAAATTCAACATCTCCAATATTAGTTCCGATGATGAAGATTTCTTGCTTGGTGTCCCATTGTGCTTGACTGGGCAATTGAGTGCCATGAATCTTTTTCAAACTCTCAGATCTACTTGGTTGTGGTGGTGGAGATTTAATTGGAGTATCCATTTGAAGTTACTTTTGTTTCCTTTACTTATTTTCTTGTGCTTTTTTGCTGTTTCAGGTGATAAACCATGCTCCATCATCCGAGGATGGTGGGGTTGCGGTGATTATTGACTAATTTTTGGGTTTTTAAAAATGATTTTGGTGTTGGGTCGTGGAGAGAAGATGGGGGGTAGTTGTTGAAGATGAATTATAGAGAAAGAAATGATAGAATCATTAAAAAAAAATTTAAAAAACAAATCTCATAATGCTAATTAGTTGTGGCAGACTCCCACCCAAGATTAAGACAAGAAGCAAAGGCAAAGAAGAACAAGGTCTTGTGTGGGGAGCAGGAAGAGGAGGCGGCGGCAGGGTCGAAGAGATGAGAAAGGGAAAAACAGAGTCCTTTTTGGTTTTTTTACAAAAAAAAAAAAATTATTTTTATATATTTTATAAAATTATTTTATAAGGGTAATTTAGTCAATTTAGATTTTAAATATTAATTATACCAAATTGAAACTTCAGGTGCTTTTTGCACATGCACATGTCAGGTGTGATATACACTGTAAGCATACTTCAGATGTTCTTTGCGCTTGATTCCAATTAATATAAAGAATTAAAGTGCAAAAAATCCTTATTTACTATTGATATAATATATAACAGTCCTATGTGGTAAAAAACTCCTTTATATTATTAATTTGATACAAAAAAATCCTTATGTGATATATAATGACGATAATAGTTAAATAAATTAATAACTATAAATATTGTTCATGCAAAATGACCTTTCATGTACTTATCCAAAAAAAAAAATATCGTAATTTTTCTTAAAATATTTGAGCGCGGCTAACAACAATAGCAAAAACTAGTAGGATGCACTAAATCTAAAATTGACGGCCAAGATTACTAGAAAGTCGACAAGGAAAGTTGAAAAAAAGTAGGATCCACTAAACCTACAATTGACGGCGAAGATTACTCGAATGTCCCCAACGAACATCCAACAGACCACGTCAATCATACTCACACTTGGAACTGGCACCACCCGAATTCTTCCTAATGTAAATATCCCACTACTACGTACTATACATCCCTATATATTAGTATATATTTCATTTACAGTAATCTGATTTTCTCTCTCTACAGAGTCGAAAATTACCCTAAATATTGTTGTCTCTAACCTGATCGCGATGTCCCTATCGGTAAACTTCAGTTCATGTACTTATGGAAATTATTTACAATTAATTGGTATTTATTGTAGTTGAATATTGGACACTGAGAGGTCAAATCTACGAACATAGATTGTTACTTTTTTATTTAAATTTATTTATTTTAGATTTATCATATATATTTTCTGATGTTTTGAGTGGCTAATTCATGCTTTGTGTTTCTGTTTTATGTTTGTGTCATCAATCATAAGTTTAGGGTTTTTCTTTCTTGACGATTTAAGTTTAGGGTTTTTCTTTCTTCCTTTTTTATATACAAATACAAAGCTTTTGATTCAAATTGCAGGGATTTGACAGGAACTCAGGTCCAAGAGTTCTTGCTATGGCCCCATTTGACCACTTCTCTCGAGCCCCTTCCCCAACTGCACCTCCCTCCGCTTCTCCGATCCAGCCATCTCCCAGGTATTTCTTTTATATATATATATATATATATATATATATATGTATATATGTATGCATTTTATGTTTATATATTGATCTCTCTTTTGAATCTTTAATTTTCATTGTAGTCGTTAATGGCGTTTCGAGAACCCAAGAATGTGATTTTTGTTTTAAACTATATGCAAACTGCAGAAACCCTAAAAAACTTGTTTTTAACACTTTAAGAGAAGGGTTGCAAGTGTCAGAGCCAAAGTGTTTTTGGGCCTCATAAGATCGCTGATCCAAGAAGGAGGAGAGTGTAATAAATAAATAAGAAAAAGAAATAGAGAAAGAAACTGATAAGCCCTTTGAATTTGTGGTGCTCAATTGTAAATGTTACGCTGATTTATAGGCGTCCAAGAAATTAAATTGTAGTTCAGTTGGTTCCCATCATGTTTATGGAAGTACCTTCGGCTTGGTGGGGTATTGGGTTGTTTCCTGATATATTTATATATATATATATATATATATATATATATATATATTGATAATTCATTACAAAGGAAAATTGATTAAAAAAAAGAGAAATAAAATATTGGACGGTGCATTTATATAAATATTTTATTTTGTTTATTTATTTATTTTTCCGTTGAAGAAACACTCTTATGGATTTTATTTTATTAACAGGGAACTGTTGTCTCCAAAGAGAACACATTCACCACATTTGGTTTTCAATAACAACCACTCTATTGTGGGTCCTTACCCTTCTGAAGGAGTCTACATGTAACAAAGCACGCAAACTTACTACTTTCTCATCTCTTATTTCTATATCCCTGAAACAGTTCATTTCTTTCTTTCTTCAAAAATATTTTTTTTCTTTCAAACTCAATCCTATTTGGAATGTCTATTTATAAATCTTCTAGTTTTATATCTGTATCCCAAGCTTATGCGGTATTGCAACATGTTATGTGAGCAAATGACACTCCCTCTATCACTTTTTCTTTCTGGTAGGTACAATTACGTAGAAACTCATAGATTGAGGAATAGAAATATAAATAGCTTTCCTATCTATAAACTTGATGTAGAAATGCATTAGGCAAATCATTTAAGGATTAACTATTACTTACACTTACTTGCAGGGGTGTGGCCTAGGTTATAAACAATGTGCTTTAGTTTTTAATCCCATTGAACTTCGAACTGCACAAAACAAAGGTTATATATGCTTATTGGTTATGTGTACATGGTTTTCATTTATGTTCTGGTATTTTTTTTGTTGATCTTTTTATTGTTTATTTATTTATTTATACTTATATCCTTTCATTAACAAGCATAATAATAATAACTGATAATTTAATTACTTTCTTGGATTCTTTGAGGCCTTAGCCTCGATTCCAATCTTGTAATTGGGATGCGTTCCTCTTTTGAACGTCTTTTTATTTAATTTTTACTTATGAAAAATAAAATAAAATTAACAAGCATAATAATAATAACTGATATCTGACATTCCTTACATGTGTTCTTTTCTCTTCTTCTATATATTTACAATAATCATTTTGTGTTCTATTCGTGCCAACCTAAAAAACTATTAAATGTTCCTGCCTTTTGTTTAATAATGTAAATGATATAACTGAATCATTTGCCTTTGCGGATTGTAAAAGTGATTCACCATATTCATTTCTTTCACTGAAACAGTGTCCATGAATTTTTGTAGATCCTGCTTGCTCAACTCCTATGTGATCCCTGAAATCACCTCATATAAATTTATTTTAAGACTTGGTAAACTTTGAATTATTTTTTCTTGGGATTCCCAATTTTTATCTATTTATTTGTGTGTATTTTCTTCTAATTATCCTTATGATGTTTAACTCTGTTGTATCTAATGTAATTTTAGTCATTATTAATCATCCCCCCTTATTCTAACTTCTACAACTCTATCTGTCACGCACTGATCTACTACTACACCTGCCCTATTTCTATGGTTATCTTCACTACTTATCAAAAAAAAAAAAAAATGGTTATCTTCACTACCCAAATAAATAAATTTGTATCCTTCTCTGATCTCTCTAGCCTTTTCTCCTTTCCATTTGGTTTCTTATCATCAAATGGTGTTAATTTTCCTCTTTTTCAACGTGTTTTTAAGTTCACCACACTTACCAACCCGTCAATGTCCCTATATTTATATATCCCTATATATATATATATATATATATATTGGTATAGATTAAATTCCAAATTTTTCCTTTTTATTCTTTTATATATAAAAAAAAAAGAAAAGAATTCATCATAATGATTTGATATAATTCTTACAATTGCTATCAATCTGACACCAACCCACCTCTTTTTGGATTCAACATTGGGTATTGACGATGGAAGAGTCAAATACCTAATGTTATGGTACTGACATTGTATTGTCTATTGTTATTGCATAACAGACCACGTAACACAAGTTCATAATAAATCAACAACTATACTAAAATATACAGTATATCTATGATTGAATTAAAGTATCTGAAAACAAAATATAACAGAGTGCCAAGTGCTATAAAATATCCAAGACAATATACAGCAAGTAGAACAAATGTACTAATATACATAAACATATATATTATATAGGTTCAGAACATTATATTTGCAGCCTATATATGCGGCAAATATATACAACGATATTCAAATAATATAGATTCTGTATACAAGTCAATGTGTATAGCAATATAAACAACAAACATAATGTATATATATTGTATATACAACAAATAGGACACTATATATTAATATATGTGCAGCCTATATATATAACAAATTTATGCAACAAAATTATATTTGTGTATTTATAGTATAGTCAAGTATATCATACTATAAACCATATATGTCACTAAATATTCTATATATAAGATTAATAAATCCGTATATTTAGAGAGAAAGAGAAGCATATCAGTGATAGCAGAGGTTCATTTTCTGTGTGGATCAACTATTCTTGTGGGTTCAAGATTCTCTACTGGCTGTTTTTCGTCAGTAGAATGAAGAACCAAACAAATTGGAACTACGAACCCATCTCCAAGTGAAGAAGAAGAGGACCAGGAATCTGAATGGATGAAATCAGTAGAAAGAAGTATTGATATATGCAAAGTTGCATAAAGTGTTTTGAAGATCATTGCGCAAGATTTTGGATTTTGTAAAAGAAAGATGTAACATCTGGGATTTTGGGTGGCAAGAAATTAAGAATGAAGTAAAAGGGTGGTCGGGAGAGGGATCGCCAGAAAAAGTAATAGGCTCCAATGAGAAGTTTTTCCTCAAATCAATGTCCTCCTGTTAGGTTCTTGGCCCTGAAGTTTATGCTATCGTCGGTGGTAGATGAGAAAGTACCAATGAGAGGTAGGTGAATGAATATATCACCTTGGGCACATAGCAGAGAAAATGGAGATTAGGGCATGTTCCCGGAGAGAGAGAGAGAGAGTCGTTAGTGGTAGATGAGAAAGTACCAGTGAGAGGTAGTTCAATGAGTAGATCACCTTGGGCACATAGTAGAGAAAATGGAGATTAGGGCACGTTCTCCGGCGGGGTGGGGAGAGAGAGAGAGAAAAAAAAAAAAATCAGTATTTTATCATTGCAATGATAAAATAGTGATATTTTAATGGTCATTTATCTTACAAAGTGTGCTGAAGTTGACCAACATAAGCGTTTGGGGGTCTGACGTATGGGATTATCTGAAAGTTACATGGCAAGTAAAAAGTGTCTCAATAGGAAAATTTCTAGAGAAGAGAAGTGGGATAAGATATCCGGATTGAAAAGGAAGCTGTGGTTATGTCTTGAGTAGTAGGTAAGAATCTGGTCTTACAGAATTTCAAAGTGGTTACTAAGATTTTATGAACAGCTCTGAACACATAGAAGTGGCGAGAAAGAGGTTCAAGGTGCTGTACAAGTGGTAACCATTGGTTCATTTCAAGTCATAGAAGCTGATTTTGTTCTTAGAATTGGTAGTTAAAAACAGAGGCGATCTTTCTTTTTGGTTTGTTTTCTATTAAGATATACAATATTTTCAATTAAGATATAAAACTACAGATACATATTTTTAGTTTGGATTTTCTAGCGTGTTAAGATATTTGTCCTAGAATCTAGAAAGTGAAGAAGAAAAATTCTTCTTGTCCTATGGTATCTTCACGATTGTATTTTTTGTTACCCTACTTGTTAGTTGTTGAATATGCAATCCCATGCTCCTTTCCTTTTAACATTTGTTAATGATTCTTGTTTGGTTAGTTACTTCCATGTGCCAACTTCTCACTTTAAATATATAAAAATAAAAAGGAAGGGGGTTGGGGGGTATTGCTATCCCCCTCCCATTTACATGAAAAGAACTTCTGTAAGTGCATAAAGTTTTTGCCACTTCTTGTATTTATGATGATAAAATTTGATAGTATAGAATGTATGATATTGATACCTCATATTTTCCTGTAGGCCTATTGAATCTCGTCCTCAATGGCATAATGAGCAAAAGTCTTTCTTCAACGGTTATAATACCCAAACTTATCAAAGGCCTCCTGCAGTTGCTTCTTTTGATGCTTCACATAATTCTGGAGCTGGCATTTCATCAAGGATTGCCCAGTTTCAAGACCACAAAAGATCCCGATCGCCTCCTTTACTGTCTACTAATGAAAATAATTTGAGGAATTCCAGAAATATCACCACAAGGTATATTCTGTCATTTCTCTGGTATCATATATGAGTAGCATTAACTTCTATTTTTCTCCCCATAATGTGCATACCTCATATTTTCCTGTAGGCCTATTGAATCTCGTCCTCAATGGCATAATGAGCAAAAATCTTTCTTCAACGATTATAATACCCAAACTTATCAAAGGCCTCCTGCAGTTACTTCTTTTGATGCTTCACATAATTCTGGAGCTGGCATTTCATCAAGGATTGCCCAGTTTCAAGACCACAAAAGATCCAGATCGCCTCCTTTACTGTCTACTGATGAAAATAATCTGAAGAATTCCAGAAATATCACCACAAGGTATATTCTATCATTTCTCTGGTATCATATACGAGTAGCATTAACTTCTATTTTTCTCCCCATAATGTGCATAACAGATTGTAGTCTATCCTTTTACATTTTGATGGAAACCCAAGAATATTATTGTACATAGAATGGAAGAATACAATGTAAGAAAAATTTCTTTTCTTTTCAAAGAACCAGTTAAAAACAAATAAAACTGAGACTGAGTCTCAATTCCAAAGCCTTGTTACTGTAGTACTATTCCCATTCTCATCCTTGCATGTTACTCCAGTTCCAAGTTGCCAGATTAGCTAAGGAATTTACATTACTGTCCATTTTTACTTGGTGTCCAAACATTTTAGATACCCCTTTATTGCTGACTTGGGGGACCTTGCCATGATCCAATCACTCAAAAGCATGGTTGTTAAAATCCCGATTCTAGATTTTAGAATCTTACGATTCTACAGTCCCAAATTGCCAAACCGATCCCGATGCCATCCCATCCAAAATCGCTGGGAAGTAGAATCTGAGTAGGATCTGTTGAATCGGAAGTATGATTGTGGAATCGCACGATCCTACTGATTCTACTAAATCGTGTTATTTTGTTCTTCTTCTAGATTTATTTGGGCCTACAATTAATTTTGGACTAATAATTTTAATCATTTAAATATAAAATCCAACTCTTTAGCCTAATTACATTAAATAATTAAAAATTTAAAACAAAAACCAAAGAACCGTTTTATTTTGTTCCTTTTTTTTAGGAAAAAATTAATAAATGACAACTTATTTTGGATAGTTACAAATACGATCATGTCCAAAAAGAATGGATGAAAAGTGGCACTTTAACAAAATGAATTGCTCCCTCTGCCCCATTTTAGATGTCGCCTTCGAAAACTGTGACTCACAAAGTTGTGAGTCACAGTTTTCGAAGGCGACATTTAAAATGGGACGGAGGTAGTACAAAAAATGACAACTTTACACTAATAATTTGGTATTTGACAATCACCTATACATTTGATTCCAAATTACCCCTTTATGCAAAATGACTTCTAAACCATTTATGAACAATCCCACCTACCACAACCCACTACCCACCCAACTTTACCTCCATCCTCACCGTCCGCCACCACCCACCATTTTTTCCGGCTCGAATCGGTTGAAAAAAACCCTTCATTCTTTATATCAATCCAAGCCAAACTCTTACTTGATTAAGAAAAAATAAAATAAAATTTTGGTGGTGTTACAGAGAGGGCAAGAACACATAAATATATGATGATGTTAATGGGTTGTGATGGCTTCACCGCTTCCGTAACCTCCTCTCAAGCCGTTTCAGTCCGCCAACACCCTCCCTTGTCATGGAAGCCCAGAACCCATCACCGCTGCCGCCGCCGCCGCCGACCACCAGCCCGCCATTACCATTCTCCCTTGTCATGGAAGCCCAGAACCCATCACCAGTAACTTCAGTGGTTGATTGCTCACACAGTCCTGACAGTAATCCTAATATCCCATTATAAAACCTAGATGATAGAACAATGAGATGTTCTGTCTGTTATGGATAAATGGACTGTATATCATGACTGTCTTATTACTTGTTCCTTTATTATGGAATATGAATAAATAGGAGAGTTCCATACTCTCTTTGTCATACTCTTACTATCCACACAAATTGCGTATTCCTTCCTTTCGATTAGTGGTCTTTATTGGTTGCTTATTGGTTTCTTAATTTTGGTTCCTTTTGATCCAGCACTTCAGTTACATAGTTTCGATTGTGATATATGGTTTCTCTTCTTTCCTCAGATCTCTCTAATTATGCCTTATTTTATATTTTTTTGTATGTGTTTGTTTTTTGCAGGCCTGCTTTATCTGATCCTCTATGGGGTAATCAGCCAAATATACCAGGCGGCTTCCGAGCTATCAAAAGAACTAGGTCACCTCCTTCCCACTCTGCTGATCAAGTCATTTTTGAGAATTCCAATTCAGTCCAAGATGATGATGAACGGTAAGATATTATCTGCTTAGAATCTAATTATCATTTGTTACTCTTGTTATTCATTATTAATTCCAGTTCATTATGTTTCTTATGTCTTTTCACTTGTGATTATCAGAGAATTGCAAGCCAAAGCAAAGAGAATGGCCCGTTTCAAGGTCGAACTAAGCCAACCATTGCAAAGCTCTCCTGGTAATGGAAACCAGAAATTCTCTACGAATAGACCTGATTGGACTATGGGAAGGCAAAAATTAATGGAGGAACATTCTGCCGATATGGTGGGGGATCTCTCCAGTGGCAATGCTTTATCTGATCTGGAAGCAGCAGAGTCATCCAATATTATAACTGGATTATGTCCTGATATGTGTCCAGGTATGGCTTTCAATTTTTGATCAATGTGCAAGCCTGTAAATTCATTGTTTTCGAGCTGCGATGTTGAGGTCGTAGGTCCAGTCCAATTTTGTCCATCCTGCTCAAAGTGAAAAAATGGTTACAATATTGTTTTCCATGTATTTTTAATTTTAAAAGAAAGAAACTGCCATTCTGGAAACAGATAATGTCAGTCTATTCTGAACTTGATATGAAATTATCTCTAGTTCATTGCTATTCTGAATTTTACAATTGAAAGTTCCATCTGGTTTTTAAGTACTCTGAGAAACTAGCGCACCTTGTTAGTAATGTGGGAGACTTCTGGAGTAAGTTTTGCCTAAAACTTGTAATACATGTTAGCCTCTTGTTTTATGTTTCAGAGCGAGAAAGAGCTGAACGAGAGAGGAAAGGAGATCTTGACCAGTATGAACGCTTGGAAGGGGACAGAAACCAGACCAGCAGCTCCCTTGCGGTTAAGAAGGTAATCCTCGGGCATTCTGAAATGTCTCCTGGCAAATAGGGATAGAAAACATTATCCCATACTTTGTATGTAAGAGAGGAAATGATGAATATTCTTATAATGATTCTTTCAGTATAATAGGACAGCAGCGAGGGAAGCAGAGTTGATACGACCCATGCCGGTCCTGCAGATGACAATTGATTATCTTCTAAATTTGCTAGATCAGCATTACAGTGACAGGTTTCTTGGCTTGTATAACTTCCTGTGGGATAGGATGAGGGCGATTCGGATGGACCTGAGGATGCAACACATTTTTGATGTGGGGGCTATTACTATGCTAGAGCAAATGGTCTGTCCTCTTTCTGATAGCTTTAAATTTTATTTTCAGAATATTTACATGCAGTTTGCTTTCTCATTTATCTTGGATCATAATCTTGACAATATGGCTTGTTACAATGCAAATTGAATAAAGACTGATTTTATGTTTTCATGGTTGTGCCGGATCAATTCTTGGTTGCTGAAATGCCATTTAGTTCTTCTCTACACTAAATAGTGTTACCGATTGCTGTTGTTGTCAGATAAGACTTCACATAGTTGCCATGCATGAATTGTGTGAATACACAAAAGGAGAAGGGTTTTCGGAGGGTTTCGATGCACACCTCAACATTGAACAGATGAACAAGGCATTAGTTGAATTGTTCCAATTGTATGATGATCACAGGAAGAAAGGAATAAAGGTGCCAAGTGAAAGAGAATTTCGAGGTTATTATGCACTTCTCAAACTGGACAAGCATCCTGGCTACAAAGTAAGTCGTCTGCAGTAGCCACACAATTGTACAATATTCATTCCAAAGTTGCCTGTAAAAATAAGATCTCCGTGCTAGGTTGAACCTGCTGAGCTCTCTCTTGAACTTTCCAAGATGACACCAGAGATTAGACGAACACCAGAAGTGTTATTTGCCCGTGATGTAGCAAGGTTGTCTCCTGACTCTCCATCCTTTATTTAATACATGCAGGTTGCTGAGTCGGATAAAATCTAATATTAATTGTTATTTTGCTCTTTCAGAGCTTGTAGAACGGGTAATTTCATAGCCTTCTTTCGGCTTGCAAGGAAAGCGAGTTACCTTCAAGCATGCCTAATGCATGCTCACTTTGCGAAGGTATGGGTAAATGCCTCCCATTGTTTTATGCTTATGCTTTAATTCGAGCCATCTATTTTGGATTGTTTGTCCACTGTAATTATGAGTTGCTTTATATGTATACCCATGAATTTAGCTGCCACAATAGTAAGTCCTGTGGATAATGTAACAGGTGGATTTAAGTTCCTTTTTTTTTTTTTTTTTAATTAATTTGTGCTGTCCATGCTTAAATATTTCTCTTTTGCATGTTTTAATTATGAGTTTGCTTTATTTCTCTTTTGTATGATATTACTGTGCATCTAACATGTGCGCATACACATGGAAATATGATAGTCTCATTGTTTTGTTGTCTTAATCAGTTACGAACCCATGCACTTGCATCCTTACATTGTGGTCTACAGAACAACAAAGGTATCCCTGTGGCCCATGTTGCCAAATGGCTTGGAATGGAGGTACTTTTTCTTTGGCTTGCTGGTGATTTGCCTTTGTTTCAAACTAGCGAGGAAGTTCCAACTACCAAATATTAATGTATCATGCTTTTACTGGAATTAGGAAGAAGACATAGAAAACCTTTTGGAATATCATGGGTTCATGATAAAGGAATTTGAAGAGCCATACATGCTGAAAGAAGGTCCATTTCTGAATGTTGACAATGACTTTCCTGTGAAGCTATCAAAACTTGTTGATCTGAAAAAGTCGAGAAGGATAGTTGAGGATGTATCGGTATCATTGTCTACTGAAGAAGTGAAAGAGCTCCGCTTGACTAAGATCTATGAGGAGAAACCTACACCAGTTCAACTTGTTGAGACAGGAAGTTCGGCCCTGGCCATTGATGAGGAAATGCCTGATTATGAAGCTATCTCATCCCCAAAAGATGCCACACAAGTGAGGCCGATGCTCAAAAAACCATTATTTACTCAACAGAATGGAGACAATAGCTGTCCAGTGGCTTCTGTGAGTCCTTTGTCATGGGAACTTCCCTTTGTTCATAATTCCCCTAAATCTCAGCAAACTAAAGTTGGGACCCTGGAGAAACCCCCCAATTTTGATACACGTTTCAGAAACTCCTTTGAGAAAAACATACATTCTGAGACAAAAGCAATGCCATTGCATAATATTTTTGGAAGTGTTGGTGAAGGGAGACTTTCAACTTCTCAAACTGATTCTCCTACGGGTAATATAGCACCGCAAACTAAGTTTGCTGAAGACTTCGATGATGAAGAGCGTACAGATATTACAGATATACACCAAGAAGTTGAAAATGATGTTAGGAGTTATAATGATGAAGAAGTTGCTGAGGCAAGACTAAAACTAATCTTAAGGTTGTATCTTATTCCTACTCTTTTGGCTCTAATTTGTTGCATTTGTTTTACTTATTTTTTTTCTTATTGTTCCTGCATTTCTCTTTTGTCAGAATATGGAGGCGGCACTCTTCAAAGAAAAGGCAGTTACGTGAGCTAAGGCAGTTAGCAGCAAATGCTGCATTAAATTCCCTCTCATTGGGTCCACCAATTCGACATAGGAAAGATGTAAGTCTTTTTGTTCCCTGCCTTCTCTCCAATATTATAACATGAACTAATCCCAAATCACAATATACTTTTTGTTATTCTATTACCTTCCTTTCTCTTCTGTTGGATTTCATTTTATTGCTTCTCTTGTCCCCTCCCCCCTCTTATCTTTTTGTCTCTCCAATATATAAAGTGAAGTAATCCCAAAAGATGAAGATATACATACAGGACTTTGTTTGGGCCATCTCCCATGGTCATACATCAATGCAGTCTGTAGTGATTGGAGAATCATGGTTGTAATGTCTAATCCTAAAGACAAAAGACCCTGGTTTGACATTTATTCTCATTTGTTTTGCCCCTTTGGCCTTGTTTAAGCAGGCATGAATGACTCACTGAAAAAAAAAAAAAAAAAAGTTTCCAAAATGACAGAAATTTTATCCATTATAAACTAAAGATGTGGAATTCTTGGAGAGGAGGTCAAATCGAGGGTGCCTTCTGTAATTTTTCTTCAATTAATTTTTTGACTTTATATGATAGAAAATGAACTAGGACAGACATGAGATGGCTTCTTTATAAGGCCATTATCCAATTTTGGTTTCCCCAATTCAAGATGGTGCTTTTCTATCAAGAATTTCCCCGCAGATGGAAGTTTGACTTAACTAACATATGTGCATAATACATAATTACCTTTTTCTTTTCACTTAGTGAATTTATAATTAACTACTACACATAAATACATGTTTGTGTACACACCCATTATAAGCCCCTCCCTCCCTGCCAAGACATACAGATATTCAATCGCTTTGCATATGATTATATACATAAGAATTGAAGAATTAATGGCATGCTATGGGCATATTCTCTCGTTCATCTTTCTCAACATTACTTTGTTTTGCTGAAGTTCCTAATTCCTTTTTCATCTTGTAAAGGAACCAAGCATGTTTGGCGAGTTCGACATTGATCGAGTTATGAGTCAGAGATACCAAAAACATGAAAGATCATGGTCAAGGCTCAATGTTTCAGAGGTGATAGCGGGCGAGCTTGGTAGAAAGAACCCGGAAGCGAAATGCCATTGCTGGAAAATTGTTTTGTGTTCTCAGATGGACAACCCAGTGGGAGAGAAACTGGGACAATGGAGCCAAGCTACCCCTTTAGCACCACACCCGTGGTTGCTTTCTAAGCTTATGCCGACTGGAAAAGACGACGACGATCTTGTAATTTCGTCCCCTGGTCTGTCAGTATGGAAGAAGTGGATTCCTTGCCAATCTGGTGGCAACCTCACCTGCTGTTTGTCAATCATCAAGGATACAAAAACTGATTATCTGAGTGAGGCGGTGTTAGGTGCAAGTGCCATTCTTTTCCTTGTATCTGAAAGCATTCCTTGGGAGCTCCAAAAGATGAGGCTCCATAACCTTCTTATGTCTTTACCTTCTGGTTCCTGCTTGCCTCTTTTGATCTTGAGAGGCAGACGGGAAGAAAATTCGGATTCTTCATCAACCGTGGTTGAAAATTTGGGGCTCCGTGATATTGACAAATCACGTCTGAGTAACTTTCTGGTGGTTCATCTCGTTCAGAACCATGAAGATGAAAGATTTGATGGGTTTTTCAGTGACGAGCAATTGAGAGATGGGCTAAAGTGGCTGGCAAGTGAGTCGCCTTTACCACCTGTTCTGAGTTGTGTTACAACACTTGAAGTGGTTCTGACCCATTTGAATTCTTCATTGGGGGAGCTTGATGAGATGAATGCTTATGATGTGGGTCCAAACCACTGTATCTCAACCTTCAATGAAGCCCTGGACCGATCATTGGGAGAAATTGGTGCTGCAGCTAATGCAAACCCTGCTTGTTGGCCTTGTCCTGAGATTTCTTTGCTGGAGGAGTCCAGTGATGAATATAAAGCTGTGAAGTTGTACTTGCCAAGCATAGGTTGGAGTTCAGCAGCAAGAATTCAACCACTTGCGAGTGCACTAAAAGACTGTAAAATTCCTGCATTTCCGGATGATATATCGTGGCTTTACAAAGGTTCCATTTCGGGCGAGGGTATTAAGAAGCAGATAGTACAGCTTGAAAATTGCTTGTTCAAATACCTGACCCAATCAAGTAAGGCGATGGGACTTGCACTGGCAACAGAGGAGGCTCATGTAATGCTACAAAAGAATGCTCGGCTTGAGCTCCATAATTCAAGCTACTATCTAGTTCCAGAGTGGATGATGATTTTTCTACGAATTTTCAATTGGCGGTTAATGAACTTAACCAATGGAGCGTTTTCTACAGCTTATATCTTGGAGCAGCGAGGTGTAGACGCTGCAACCTATGATGGTGTGGATAAGTTGGTGTTTAAAGGTAGCATATCTTCTCCACCTTGTTATTTAATTCGTCCATCACTGGATGAAATGGTTGAAGCCTGCTGTAGCCCGCTTATGTCCCGGATAGGTTATTCAGAGCATGAAGCTTCTCAATCTCCATCAGTGGTTGGTGAGGATCAAGATTCTTCTGCCTATGCAAATGACTTTGAAGATGAAATGAATATTGCACAGAGACAGAATGATACACTGGTAACCAATGGATCAAACTACTACACTAGTAGTGAAAGGGTGGTGGTGGAAACCAAGGTCACAAAGGAAGCTGACAAACTTAGCAAGTTGTTCGAACAATGTAACATATTGCAGGACAGGATAGACAATACGTTGTCCATTTATTTCTGATTCTTATTATCAGAGAATTATTGTATCATATATGTATATAATTGTATTGCATGGTGGAAATGAATTGGTAAAAGATTATTTTTGACAAAGCGTGGTTATAGAAAGTCATTTTGTTCAAAATATAACCCAAAAATAGGTTTGTCTTTGGTCCTCTCTTATTGGCACTCCCCCGTAGATTGCACTTTTGAGAAATTAGACCTTACTCTTTAGATGATTAAATTGTTAAAATATTTTTATTAAATTAAAAGCACAAATGTACACTAGTGGTTTTGGTAGTCTTATGTCGTAGTAATTTTTAAGAACAGGTTTTAAAATAAAAGTGTAAAGCAGGAATAAGTGCTTTGTGTATCGCGAATATTCCTGTTAGTAATTTTTAAGAAGAGACTTTAAAATAAAAGTATAAGCAGGAATAAGTCTTTTGTGTATCGCGAATATTCCTGTCTGTTATAATGCATAATTTACAAATCTATTAAACTATGTTAAAATCTTATTTCATTAAAAAAAAAAAAAATTCAAATTTAAGTTAAAATCTTATAGTTCTCTTTTTTCTTTAAAAATAAACATTTTTTTAACTTAGTTTTAAAAAAAATGAATCAAGTAGAATTTTTATTTTTTTTTAACTTCTACTGGTGGACTCCATTTTACTCTGCTTTACAAAATACATTCATGATGTTTCTACTTCTGTAATGAAAATTTGTCCTTTGGATATATATATATTCTATATCCATCTTTCTCAGTTTTACAAAATATGATGTTTCTACTTTTGTAATGCAAAATTTGTCCTTTTTATATACTCCCTTCGTTCTATATTAAAAGTCTATTTAGTTGACAAATTAAAATGGAACAGAGGTAATATATACACAGAGAGAGTCTTGATAAATTAATCCACACTTTCTATATGAACTGTTCGATTTAATATAACGATCATTTTTTATACCCACCTATATCCCTTTCCTTCTAAAATAAAACTACTCTCACCTTATTTTTAGATGATTAAATTGTTAAAAAAAAACTGAGTTTTCAAAAACACTGTTTTTTATTTTTATTTTTTTAATACAGTTTTCTATTTTCAATTTTCTGAAAACAGATTAAATCACAATTTCCATGTGAACCGTTAGATTAAACCTAACGGTCATTTTTTAAACCCACTTATATCCCTTTCCTTTTAAAATAAAACCACTTTCAGATGATTAAATTGTTTTAAAAAAATTGTTCAAAAAACTTTTTTTTTTTTTTTTAATACAATTTTCTATTTTTAATTTTTTGAGAATAGAAAACTATTTTTATAATTACAAACTAAGCATGCTTATATTCTTACCAGGGTGCCAAAATGAGTCATGACCCACCAACCCGCCCATATCTGCCCGCTTTAAAATGGATATAGGTGAACCATGTTAAAATATGAGTCAAAATGAGCGACCTATATTCAACCCATTTTTATAAAAAGTTAAATGGAAACGAAAAAGATGAGAACATGGAGAAAGCTTTGGATATGTTCAAGGAAAAGAATCAGATCATATCAGAATTGAGGAAAGAATTAGCACAACCAATTAGTATCAATTATTCAAGTTAAAGATGTGTGTCTTCCTAATCTAAAATTTTTAGTCGGTCTTGTATAGAAATCAGAGAAGAACCATTTGACCCATCTCTGTTGCTCTCTTGAATGCCTTGATTGATTTGATGCCCATAACTATTCATGTCGTCCATGATGGTGGACCGGCGGTGATGCAATTGTATAAATAAAACTCCGACAACTATCGTTACCTAATGCTTTAAGTCCCACAACTATAGTTACCTGATGCCTTATATATATATATATGTAGAGTGCCGTAAGACAATTACCATTGATACCTAACTAAAAAGTAAAAAAAATATATATATACATTTTTAATACAATTACTTACCCATCTAATGGTGAATAAAACCCACACCATATAATAACTTCACCTCGCTTTGTGGATGAGAATCATGAGATGGCTACGTCATTGCTCTTACTAACTTTTTCGTTATTCTCTTGTGGGCTCATGCCTTACCATGTAATTAAATTATCAATTTGGGTGCAAAAAATTGTCATAGCCAAGAAATCAAGAAAACGTTTTATTTCTCATCTTTGCCTTTTTTTCTTTCTCCTGGGATCCATCACCGACGTCCAATGAAAATTTATATTCCAGACTGCCTATAATAATTCATCTTAATTTGCAACTTGGTATATCACTGTATAGACTAACTGTTTTCACACCCAGATTAAAGCAATTATTATTTTTACCGAACATTTCCTGTTTATGTCTTCTTCACATAAACATAACATTATTGTTACCTGTACTTGTCAAAATAAACACCCATTTGACTCATTTTTATTTTTTTTTTATTTTATCCTCTTTCTCATTTGCACATTAATATAGTGATCTATCATACATATGCAATTATACCGATTCTGTCCTATTGCTGTTGTTCTTCAACCTTTATTTTTTTAATTTTTAATAAAAAACCTCTTAAATACAAAAATCGGAACAAACCAATTTGAATCATATTTAATCTATGAATATTGAAAACTATACTGTGACGACCCTGGTTTTTAGGCCAGCGTGTCCTGTGATGAACCGTAAGAATGATCCGATAACGGATCCGAATGCTGAAGCAAAAACAGAAAACAAGACTCTAAAAAGTCAAAGTGACCTTCCATGAAGTCATAGAACTTAACAAGAATTGATGCGGAAGCAAAAGATAAAAAATATGACAAATAAGCCCCCAGGGGCAAAATAGTCATTTTTGAAAACTATAGATTCGGGTGCCACCGAGCACACCGCTAGAAGGAAAACGAAAAAATAATCAAGATGAACTCAAGAATCGCATGATTCGGAGTCCAGATGAAGGAGAAACGGCATGACGAAGAAAAACGAGCACTTAAGGCAAAAAGGGTAAACTGGTAATTATCCAGGAAGAACCGGGTGCAACCGAGCACACCGTTGGAAAGACAGCGAAAAATTAGTCAAGTTCAAAAAAAAAATTCACTTGAATCAGAATCCGGACGAAGGAGAAACGCCCAAAAGAAGAAATGACGTCGCGGCGGCCCGACGAGGGGGCCATGACAGCCCCCCATGCTAGCCCATGCACGCCGCGCGCGCGCTGGGCGCACTCACGGCTGCCAGCAGCACAAAAGCTGCTATGTGCTTTTTTTTAAAAGAAAACCAGAATAGAGGCTGAATTTGGAGGCCTAAATGAATTTTTTTGCAAAAACACAAAGAAAAAACTCCCCTCAAAATTGAGTTTTCTACGTGACTCGCGAGAGAATTAAAAAAAAAAACGCAATGTAAAATGCCCAAAATGCCCTCCCAAGAAATCTGGTCTAGAGGGTCGAAAAAGCTGCTATATAGAAAACTGAAAGCTGAACTTCGTAAACGATTTCCGATGCCAAGACGACATTTTCTAGAAAAACACGGAAAAGAAACCCCCCCTAAAATCATGTTTTCTATTAAACCATATTGAAAGAGGAAAATAAAACCGCCGTGAAAGGTCCATAATGCCCCTAGATCAGAATATGCAAAAAAAATGCGAAATGAATTCACAAGAGGCTCAAAACACAAACGATAAGGTTTTGCCCGGAAACGACCATGCACGCAAACGTAACTTACCTATTTGGACGTGCTACAATGGTCCACGACTTAAAAATACCACCGATACAAAATCCGACCCCCCAACGGGCAAAAGGGCAAAAAGGCAAAAATGGAACTTGGAATGAAAACTCGAAATCCAAAAATACAAAACGTGATCAAATGACCGTTTGATCCTTGGCCACACTTCAAATATGATTAATAAGACCCTATGAAAGAATAAAAATGGAATTCCCACACTCGATGCAACCATGGTGAAACAATGACTTGCGATTTTTCAAGATTTTCACAATATTTCACGAAGTTAAAAAGTACATAGAACACAATATAATGGTCATTGGCCTCCGGCCTCATCTCATACATATCAAATACATTGAAAGAAGTGTACTTAAGTACACATTACATACATGGAATCAAATATACATATTTTGACATATAAGTCTACAAAATGACATTTCATGCTAACATTTGCATGAAATGGAAACTTGAAAGCTACACGACATCCAAGGAATGCTAGGCGTCACGAACCAAGTTTTCGTACCTGAAATATGCCCCAGTATCGTAGGGGTGAGTAACACAAAGCTACTCGTAGGAGATGAGCATGCATTGACCTAACATTTTACAAATCTATCACCTTAAGGTGAAACATGTTAAAGGGGCTCATGCCACCTAACGTCTATGTCCAAATGAGACTCGGGGAGCATCCTAAGCTACCTTAGAGTCTAAGCAACAAGAATCATGATATACATACGTGTATGAAACGAATCATGGTTGGGATAATCTAAGAACACGACAAGAAGAATGCTTGAGCATAGATTAACATGAATTGCATTTTCAATACAATTGAACTAGGTCTAGAGTAATCCATATAACATGACAAAAACATATTTGAATACAAGTTAACAAGAATCACATTATCCATGCAATTCAACAACAAAAGAGCATGTTATACAATGCAATAAGGTATAAGTTCTCAACGCCATCAACTTAGAATCTAAAGCACAAAATAACAGTGGTGGTTCATGCCACGTAACGTCTAAGTTCTAAATGAATCAATAGGATCAATCCTAAGCTATGTTAGAACGTCAAAACATAATTTTCAATATCGATGTAATTTAACCAACATTGGGACTCCCAATACAACGCATAAAACACAATTTCGCAAAGTTAACATCATGTAACTTAAAATGGAACGACAAATAAGGAACAACAAGTTACAACATCATCTAGTTATCAACTTGAAAATGAAATGCGAAGTCAAACAAAGTGGATACTCGGACGTCACGCCGGATCAGACCGACAACATAGTTACTTTAGGGTTACTAGCCCATGGGTAACCTCCCTATGTGCGCACTAGACCATATAGAGGGACTATCCCCCGTAGTAGAACCACGTCCTAGCCATAGTCAAACAACGACATCCCCAAGTTTCCAAAATCAAAAAGTTGTGCAACAATGTATATATCAATAGGAATATGC